AGTTTTTTTTCTTTTTCTTCCTCCGCCTAGCATAGCTTTGGTCTTCTATGACTTTGCTATCTGCCAGCGTGATTTTTTTTTGCATGTGTATATTGGTGTTGGCTGTGCGCATTCTAATTATGCAAAGGCCAGGTGTATTCATTGTGTTTGTACCACCTTAATGCTTCATTATGAATCAATAGAAACACCTTTTTTTTTAAAGCAGATACCATCAGCGAAAGGCCGTTGCTTGATAAAATAACATGGCAAGTGAAATAAAATTGTAGAGTGAAACACGCCAATAGACCATTAACTCAAATTGGTTGCGCGTTTTAGGTCAACAACTCGGAATATGGTTAATTCGGCTCGTAAACATTAATATTTTTTTTCAAATGCATGAACTTTTTTAAACTCTGTAAAAAAATCAAATTTTTGAACATTTTTTAGTTCAACAGAAAAGACAGTGAGCATTTTAGAATTCATGTGTATTTTCATATTCATGAACTTCATGTAGATTTTTTTTATTTCATGAAAAAAAACAAATTCATCAACTTTTCAAAAAAAAATTGAACCTTTCCAAATCCTCAAGCTTTTTTCAAATCCACGAACACTTTTTCTAAACCTGCGTACATTTTTTTGAATTTGTGAACAATTATAGAAAATCATGAACTATTTCAAATTTACAAGCCATCTTTTTCTATTTCATGAAAATTTTAAAATTTTCATTAAATTTTTTTATCTAAAAACCATCCCTCTTTTTTCGAAGAACAACATACCTATACTATAGGAAAATAGGAGCAAAAAAATGAGCAAGCGGGTGGGAGCCATCTAGCGAGCATTACTGGGCCAGGCCCATGCGGACAACACCCAGGGCACTGGTTCCCCAAGTGGCTCTGAGCAATTAAACAATCGTCACCCCTTGAGGGGCTCCCGCAAGGGTCACTGTTTTGGCCTGGGAGTATGCCAAGTGGTGCGTCCAGCTAGCGTCACGTGTCGCATGTTGAGTGCTCCCTCTAGATTTTGGTTTTTGTTATTTTACTATATGTGTTTTTGGATTTTAGATGGGATTTTGGGGCTGATTTGGCTTTTCGGGTTTTGCCTCATTTTTCCTAGGTTTGGACGTGTTTGGACGTGTTCACGGATAGAGACAGGGGGATGCCATCCAAGTGTAGTTACCAAATGTTCCCCCTTTTCCAAGAAAAAATGAAATAAATTAAACCAAATGTCCACCTTGATACAACCTTACTTCAACAAAATGCCTCTAAACAAATAGCAATTCAATCATACAATTCAAATCCGAAAGCATCGATGTTCAACTAGTTTTTAAAATCCATCGATCCCAAAACCACAAGAACTGGTGCCAAAGACCTCACTCCTCAAAAGTGGCCTTCATCTCAAAGCTTCCTCTTCTCAAACTCAAACTTCTTCAAAGGCACATATAGATCAGTTACTATGCCTATTGAGCGCCATCCAACAATGCATCAATATATGAAGGCTTGACCTCCACCGTTTGGTACGACGTTCACGCCCGTCCAGACTAGACAATGATGTGATCAACAAATGATAATGTTGAGGAAATTATTTAAAGGACCAACCCGTAAAGTAACAAGAAGCAAAACTTACGAGCTCTACGAGTGATACATTCATTATACACCTTCTTTGCACTTGTGCATGCACACTGCAATACTTGTTGATGGCCTTTTGAATGGTGTAACATCTATGGAGTAGCGACTTTGCATCGCGATCATGGATCACTTCAATGTTGTAGGGCGCGTAGTGCTTTTGTTTATTAAACCAAACATGCACACTTTTCCAAAATGCCGCATTCCGCCTCATGCCTTGAAACTCTGCACTTGTGGCCAACCAGCCTCACACACAACAATTCATCCTCACCAAGTTCGTGGTCATCATATTTCCTTCAATGACAACAATGACAATGCCAAAATATTCTGCTATGGCGTCGAATACTTGTTGGGTCTGGCATCCACCATGGGCGGTGTGGGCATGGGAAGATGGTTCCTAGGGGCTGATGGGATCCGGTGTGGAATGGCGGTGTAGGCCTAGGCGGGCAGACGTTTAGGTAGAGGGGCAGAGGTTTGGCAAGGCCAATGCGTCTACTGAAGTGGTGCAATGGTGGTGGCGGTCTCCGAGGCTGCAGATACAGAGCACGGGGGAGGGAAGAAGTGGGGACAAAAGGGCTCTGGATGGGGTATTTGGATAGGCCGGTGGTGTCGGAGCCCAACATGGCGGATATTGGGACTTCCCCAAACCTCCCCAGTTTGGTTCCAATTCATGAAAATTCGAACACCTGATCCGGAGAATTTTGATGACCCCGTTTGATGGCAAAATAATGAAAGGTCCGGCAGGTGAATTGGAGATCCACGTTGGAGATGCCCTGAGTGGGACTTTGTTAAGCTAGAAAATTGCTTCACACCAATGGATATATAAGACATAGTATAAAGAAGATTCCACTGTGAACGCGACGCCAAGAGGATTTGTGTTCATGGCATTACGAGCACACTGGGATATCGGCTTCTAGTACATACCCAGAAACAAAGAGAGGATGCCTCGACGGCATCTGGTTGCGGCGACGACGGATGATCCACGAGGGATAAGCAGTTTAAGGCCTCCTTTGGTTTAGAGGAATTTTATAGGAATTCTAGAGGATAGGATTTTTATAGGATTTTTTCCTTTAGAGCCCTTTGATTCATAGGAATGGATTCCTATTCCTACATAGGATTGGTTCCTATCCTCCACATTTCATAGGAAAATAAAAAAGAGCCTAGACTCAATGGAAAAATTCCTTTGGTGTCAACCAAATGACATCTTGTTTCCTATTCCTACTCATAGGATTTGAGATACATGTCATCTCATTTCCTACAAGATTCCTATTCCTATGATAATCCTATCCTATGAACCAAAAGAGGCCTAAAAGTGCCGTCCCCTACTCCCATCTTAATTACTATAGTGCTCCGGTCGAACAAATTGTGTGGCCTCCAGTTCTATTTACAGTCACAAAAAAATCTTGGCTGAAGAAAAATGATGGTTCAAGTTAAACAATGTTGAACGCTACCGCTTCTTTGAGAAATTTCAGGGAACGATGCTGAAGCCTCAACTTATGTCTAATGACCCTTCTTTAGTAGACAATTCCCTCAGCGTAAGTCAATTAGTTCCAACAAGATCCGATTTCTCAAACAAAAAAAAGTTCCACCCCAAGATCCTGGATTTGCCCTCCACATTAGTTACCTACTCAAAAAAGAGCTAAATGCATCAGTATTCAGTAGGACATTTGCTTCTTGTTTCATCTTATCGAACGAAATTCCAACAAAGCTTCGGTCGACCACATCGGATGTTGAAGTACACTTTCAGAGAACTGTTGCTTCTCACGAAACAAGAGGAACCAACATTTCTCTGATCAAATCATGGAGCAAAATGATGTCCCCAGCTGCCACAGCGGTATCTCGATGCTGGCAAAACCGACTGCCTACGTCAGTAAATCAGTTCGGAGTGGACAGTTTCAAAGGTGAGCTCCACGGCTGCAACATTGGGAAACCCTACTTAGATCCAGTGGACTCTGCATAAGCAGAAGCAAGTGGGCTGGGATACAAAACTACTGCCGGTTCACCTTTTCAGTTCCATCCCATTTCCAGATTTCAGGAGTAGATCGGCAGCACCATCACCTTGACATTTCGCTGAAAAAGATCTTGCTTGGCCATCATCACCTGGACTAAGTTCAACTTTTGTGCCTTGTACATTTTCAAATATTTTGCAGCATGACCTCTTGACTCGGTCCAGTCTGAGGAAGCAGCTTCCTCGTTCAACTCAATAGATAATAAATGTATCTTGAGAATCGCAGAAAATGAGACTGAAGAGATAACAACGAAACAGGAAATGAGAAGTACGTCTAGAAAACCTGCTTATTAAGAGCAAAAAAGTTGGCATCATGGTCACAGTGCCTAAAATAAATAAAAAAGATATGGATGAGAACATATATAAAAGGCCGTAATTGTTGCGAAAAAGATGATATGCAGACGAAATTTCTACCTTACAAGAAAAACAAATAACTTGCAAGCTCATAAAGTGAGGAGATTTATTGATACTTTATTTTTTAACTCGTCAGTTTGTATGCAAAGGCATGTCCTCTATATTTACATAAATCAGAAATTTATGCACTCAACCTATTCCTTATTGAAGCAAATTCTGCTGGAAATCATATCTGGAAGGAGTATTTATATATAATATATGCGTTGGTGGGTGTGGTGGGGGGGGGGGACCACTATAGTCACCTTACTGAAGCCTAGGGTACACTTCGGACTAACAGACATATCCTGCTGGTGTCATTTCAGCCAGGATTCCAACTCACAACCTATGCCGAAGACACTTCGCAAACAAACTTGCAGCATGAAGATTGTTACCTTGTTCGTGATCGTGGCTACGCTAGGGTCACAGGAAAGCGTGTGCACTCTTTTCAGAGTCTCCGAAGGTGGTCGGTTCAGCTGGCACCCCACAAAGGACAAGCACAACATTGAAATCCAAGATGCCATGATAGGCTCAACAAGGATCGTACAAATCGCACAGAAATATGAAAATATCGGGCGATTATACAGCGGATGAGGTCTCTTGATCATATCCACCCACAGCTTTCAGGTCTGTTTGAGAATACCTACTCGCAGAACTGCAGAAACTGCTGCAATTTAATTAGGTACAATTTGAAAACAATTATTTAACCCATAGCTAGCATCTTATCTAAGTATGCTAATAGTAACCTATTCTTGCACTGCAACTAGAAGTTCTAAAGTTCCCACCCTGGCTCTGAAAAGAACAAACCATGCACATATTTCTATCTCTGCCATATTTTGCTAGATTATTTACCATATAAAATTGGCGTTAAAACACCTAAATAAGAGACATCTAATTAGCAACTGCAAGCTTGCCTTCCTTTATTCCTTCCTCTCCACAATACAACTTTAAGAAAATTGCTGAAATTAACAAAGACTACTAATATCGACTACAAATTATTATTACATTAAAGTTGGAGCACCAGATTGTTCCGTTACAGCTGCAAGCAATCTTGGCATTGGGGGCACATCAATCTCCTGTTGACCCTCGAGAACCCGGACCACTTCACTCATTGTCGGCCGATCCAACTCATTATCTTGGATGCACCAACCTGCAACTTTGCAAACCCTTTCAGCCTCTTCCAAGTTAAAGTCACCATGTAACCGTGGATCCACCAAACTCTTCAAATCTCCGCCGTGAAGCTTGCTGATGGCTTGAACAGGGAAATATATAACATTCTGGTTACTGCTGCTGCTAGTGTTGTATGATTCTTCAGGCGAGGAATTCCTCCTTCCAGATATGACTTCCAACAGAACCATGCCGAAGCCGTAAACGTCAACTTTCGGTGTGATTGCCACTCCGGTAAGCCACTCTGGGGCAAGATAACCTGCAGTTCCTCTGAATGAAGTCAGAATTCTGCTGAAATCCCTTCCCACAAATGCTGCCAGCCCAAAGTCTGCAACTTTAGGAACAAATGATGCATCCAGAAGTATGTTCTCCGGCTTAATATCGCAGTGTATGATGCACTCACGACAACTCTGATGCAAGTATGATAATCCTCTAGCAACTCCTAGGGTTATCTGATACCTGGTGTTCCAACTTAGGACGGCAGCATCAACATTGCTCTTCTTAAACAGATGACGATCAAGAGACCCATTAAACATGTGTTCATACACAAGTAATCTTTGGTTGCCTTCGCAGCAGAAACCAATCAATTTGACTAGGTTTATGTGCTGGATCAGTCCAATTGAGCTCACCTCGGCCCTGAATTGCTTCTCTCCTTGACGGTCACCATCAAGCTTTTTCACTGCTATAGTAATTGTCGAGTCACTTAACATTCCCTTGTATACAGAACCAAAACCACCACCTCCAAGCTTTTCTGAGAAGTTTTTAGTGGCACTAACTAAGTCAGTGTATCTGAAGGCTATAATTCCACCAGCACTACTTTGATTGCCGTATAAAGGCAAACCACACCACTTGAATTTGTTCCTCCAAATCAGTAACAATAGCATGAGCATCAGTAACCCAAAACCAATAATAATTGCAGCAGTAACAACTCCGACGTTTGGTTTTCTTTTATTTTTTCTGAAACTTGGCAGCAAATCTTTGGCGGCAAGGCGAAGGTAAAGAACATCTTCAGAATTATTATCAATGCCATCATTCAGATTTACACTAAACAATTCCCCGTGCCAGACAGAGCATCTGCTATTGCTATAGGAATAAGCAGTGCAGGAGCAGGAACCGAGACAAGCTTCTTCACATTTGCTCTGAGTGGTAGCAACATCTATTATTTGCGGGTTGTATGGCAATTGAACTTGAGCAATGGGGTGGAACATGTCTGATGAACTTGTCATGTTTTTGTTGTTACCACTAGTGCTGCAATGTAACGGTGTGTTTCTGATGCATCCTCCTGTTCGATCCTCAAACTCCCAATCCCGCGGTGACTTATAGGAGAAGCTCTCCATACAGTCACAGGATGGATGTGCAATGCCATTGCAGACCGTGAAAGGTCCGCATGTAGCAGGCGGACTGCAAGGATCTGCAGGCTCGGAATATATGGTTTGCCAAGACTGGTTGGCTTGTGACCAAATATTCAGCTTGACCTGACCAGAGATGTCTAGCAAGACAAACATGGAAGTTGATGATTCATCCAGTAAAGTGTATGTGTAGTACTCCTCTTGGTTGTTATCGACATATATTGGATTAATCAAACCTTTGGTCCGAGGATTCAAATCTAGTAATGACTTGAGTGTTGGTATCAAAGATGATGATCCTGTGGTTGCATAAGTCAGATACTTTACCAGGGGGTTGTTGCGGCGCATGAGGACAATCCCGCTGGTGTCTTTTAGTTCAATGATGTATGAGCCAAAACCCGGATCAATGAGACTCTTTTTTGATATGTACTGGTGACTGAAACCAGTGACCTTGTTGCGGCCCAACTTGGCGCCAGGAAGCCCGATATCTGTTGGGTAGTCGAAGCTCTGCCACAACATCTCTTGGCTATTTACGAGTAGGGCAAGGTTTCCACTGTTCAAGAGAACGACGGAGCTAGAGGTGGTGGTGTTTATGCTACTGGTTTTCCTATTGACAATGTGAGTGGACCAAACAACGGATTCAGTTTTGGCGGCATGGTTTACGATGACAAGATTGCCATCGGTTGATATCTTGAGCTGTGTTAGGTTGACACTAGGGTTGGTGATGGCCTGATGGGCTGATCCCTATTAGCAACCCACACGATAGTGAAAACTGGGATCTTGTTGAACCATATGCCAAGGTACCAGCTGGAGCTGGGGGAGGTGGCATTGTGGGACGACTTACTGATGCCGCTTGCTGCTGGCTGGAAGAAGCCGAGGGCGAACTTGCCGTTTCTTGAGACGAGCTTGTCACCGACGGCGAGCGCTTGGCCTGCCGTGAGAGAGTGTTCATATGCAGCTGCAGTGAAGCACCAAAGAGGAGTGTACAAGAGGAGAAGCCCGAGTAGTATGTAGAGGGGAGGCATGCTGAAGAAGAGTGAATAATTTAGAGAGGAAGGGTGGATGTATATATAGAATGGAAGGCCAAGTGTTCAGCTGGCTGAAGCTGACGGGGAAGTCCAGTTGGGGTCAATTAAGTTCACATTGGGACAGAATTGCCATAAAAACAATGCAGTGCTATCATAATTGCAAGGCAGGACTTTCAATGGACCATGGTGAGGTCAATCATGAGGCCTCCATCAAGCTCACTGTTCACCAATCAGTGAGCTTCAAACCAGAAATTATACCTCAAATATTAGAGCGATATCTTCGAATATAACCTTTCTAAACCCGCAAAATATTTGCTTCAATGCATGGTCGAGCATTAAAAATGCAAATTCAAGGCATATCACCATAAAATACCAACAAAAGGTCCCTCCCTAAAAAAATTGTCACCACAGAAATACACCAATGTTGAGCTGAAGTCGGCAAACATAAAACACAAAGAGGAGAGCTAGAGAAAGAGCACAAATTAACCAAAAGGGGTGGTGCTAGTGCCAATATCAGACTCACATCTTTAGTACTGAAATTCAGCTTATGCTTAGACAAGCTTTGGGACCGTCCCAGGCTAGCAGAATAGGATAAGTGTACCTTAGCTTGTCTACGAGGACTTAGCATGGTCATTAGTCAAGTCAATCACGAGGACTTAGCGTGGTCATTGGTCAAGTCAATCACGAGGCTTCCAGGAAACTTCCCATTCACCAACCCTCATGGCAATGGCTTCAATGAGCATGGCAGGCTGGCATAAGAGGGGAAATGGCAACACCCAGGACAGCAAGTAATAGAACTCTGTTTTTGAGAGATAGAAAAAAAATCATCAATATAATGGTAGACGTAATTTGGCAATGTCGGTAAATCGTAAATAAGTAACAGCGAGGGAGCTTCCTTCTATATCTCCTAGAATTGGAAGTATATGTGTCAAGAACCCTAATGGCATGGTAATTGTCAAAAGGTCAGCCAACAAGGCAATGGCATGAATGATCATGGTATTAACCTAAACCAGAAAAAAAATGCTTCACTTATACGAGGGTTATATTCTACAAAAAATGCTTCACTTGTAGCGGGTAGCCAACCCAGCGTCATCGCAGCCGAGCGCATTGGCATGCCGTGCATTGTTGTCCGAAGCAGGTGACTGATTTTGTCTTCACTATGCTTAGTCAGTACTGAATTATGTTGCTTGTTGTCTTACTTCTGTCTGCCCTTCCCAGCCTAACCGCGAGAGCAGAATTTCACTCCGCGAGGGCCGTCATGGATGGATTCGGTGACACGGACCTGACAGTATCGAAACTACTGAGTAAGAGGTGGGCTTAATACCATCGCAAACTAGGCATTGGATGTGAGTTCCCTGCTATCAGTCTGTAACCGACCGACTGTGTGATGATTTGAAACGTCACTTGATGTAAACCTGAGCTAGCGAAACGAGGCTTTATGTAATGCTGAGCTTGCGGCAGAAAAGTTACAATAAGCACCAGCAGCTTTGTGCTGTTTTTGTTGTTATTGTACCGGTGAAGTATTGAACATTTTACTGTTACACAATCGAGTTTGTTCTGTGCCTTTATATATACATCTGACTGAGTCCTTGCCATCCACCTTACTTATTGCATCATGAGAGCTGAGGATCCATATCATTTTGCCGTGTATTTATACCGAGTTCCTCCTCTAGCATTGTTGGTATATGCCATTCGCCTTTTCGCTGCTTGATTGCTTGTAGACATGGAAGGCATTGGGAAGTATGCAACCACATCAAACCTGGTGAACACGAGACGGATATAGCTTTCATGCATCATTTCAGTACAAGAAACGCTGTCTGCTGCGCCATGGACGCCACACAAACAAGGGTGGCGTCCTTTCTTTGAAACTGAAACTTCATCATCCCTGCTATCCAGTTGTGAATCCTCTCCACCTAGGACTTGTACATGTTCAGCGAGTATGTTGTTCATTCGTCATGGCATGGGTTAGCGGGTTGCATGCTAGATCATTACACGTCTTATCCAACAGGTTGATCCAAGTTGTAGGAGTATGTAACAAAAATTTCGTATCCACGAGCGTGTTGGTCCAATCAAAGTTGGCGAAGGCATCCTCGCTCTGGTGTTGGTCCAATCAAAGTTTCTAGAAGATGATATCATATATTTCCAAAGATCCAAAACCGGATTCATCTTGAAGGCAAATAGGAATACACTAGACTTCCAATAGATTGTCAATGGTCAACATAGGAAGAAGTGTATTTTTAGTCTCCAACAAGACGAGGGGCAAATAGAAGGTCGGGTAGAGCTCAAAAGTTATATCATCAAATACTACAAATTCTCTTCCCCGGCATCGAAAGAAGGGAATCTCACCCTTGACGAGAACCAAAAAGAGGATATTCTCTGAATATTTGATGAAAGTTTCGGTCTTCCAAGTAGAACATAACAAAGCTCTAGAACCTAATGGCTTCCCCGTGGAATTCTAACAGTATTTTTTATGTATTCTATCAAAGGATAACTTAGCAAAGCGAATATGGGGGGAGTGGGGGTGTCAATGTTGCTATTTTCATGATCAGAAAGAAACAATTAAGCACCTCTTTCTCAATTGCCCTCTTGTCAAACTTTCATGACGCTCGATTCATATAGCCTTTAATGTCAGCCCTCCAAATAGTATTAACACGATATTTGGGACGTGGTTAAATGGAGTGCAGCCAAACACTGCGGGACAAATTCGGATAGGAGTATGCGCAGTATGCGCATTGCTTTGGGCTATATGAAGCTATAGAAATGACATGATTTTTAATAGACAAACTCATATATTTTTTTGCAGCTTATTTACAGGGACACAACTTGGATCCATACGTGGTAGTTACTCACTCCTGCGGAGCTAGGAAGCTTTTGGATACTGGGTGTACCTGGTGGGAGATGGTAGCTCGTGATATCTACAACCGGTCTGGATGGCGGTCCAGTAATAGGCTAGGTGTTTATTCATCTTGTCCTGTTTTCGCCGGTTGTGGGAACTTTTTCCTTCTTTTACATTTAACCTTCGAGTGAGCTTAGTACTACAATAAGGGATTGTAGTCATAACACATATACTCAAAAGTTTCTGCATATTCTTACCCATTCAACATGCTTTTATGTCAATAAATAATTCCTATCCATACTACTATGTTATGTATTCATTTGTGCAGTTATCGTCTCTTTTATGTGCCTTGTGTTTGCTCTATGAATGACTCTTTCCTTGACATTAAGTTACCTGATGTCTGATATTGTGTATGAAAATAATTTGAAGGTTCATTGATGATGCACTTAGCGAGGTCATGCCTGTATGGCAGAAATGGAGAGAATATGTTAGAGTTGTGTCGAATATTGTGTACAAGGTAGGTTATGGTTGGACTATAAGTAGCATTGTGTTTAGATAAAATATGAAGTCGTGTCCTAGTAGGACACTTGTATCCTACGCCTCTCATATATAGTGAAGGTAGATACACGATGTAACCTATACCAATATAATAACACAGGAACGCGGGGGAAGCCGGTGGCTTGTGCCGGCGTCTAGGACGACCGCGTGCGGTATTGTAACGGTATCATGAAAAGGAGCACCCAAAGTCAGGCCCCGTGGAAATAGCCATATCGGTGAATCTCGTTGACAAATCTCGGTGACGTGCTTTCGTGATTGCTTGGTTTTCGGATGATCGACGGTATGCCTTGCATTTATTCTAACAAGTGGTATTATGAGCTAGGTTGTTCGGAGGTAGTTGACGGTCAACTTAGGGTTTGATGTTTGATCGGTATCATGGTGAGTACGGTTGAGATCGATGGGAAGACGTCAGGCGATGAGCAATCACGGCGAGTAGGGGAAATCGGACGGGCATGCAAGCAGTCGAGGCGTGCGGCGATCGTTCAGTGGATTGAGCGGGCGAACGTACAAGCGGCGTGTTGTTTGGGCTAAAATACCCGACGAGATCGGATCGAGCAGGTGACGTGTCCTGGTGTTTCAGATTGACTCGGTCTCGGAGAGATCAATGTGTGATCGAAGAAAGGGGGACACAAAGTCGGTGCAGTCTCCGAGGTGCGCAAGGGTGGCAGAAGCAGCTGGTGGCCGCACTTGGAGCGAGCCGCGCGTCAAGTGGCAGGGCAACGCCTATAGCGCACGAGGCTTGTGCAGGCAGCGGGCAGCGGGCAGCACACAGGCTGGCGCGTACGGCTGTAAACGCACACTGGCGCGTAGCGGAGGCTCACGCAACTACTGATGCTTATCGCTGCCATTATCTATAAAGATAATGATGCTTGTGTTGCACAAGTCCAGATGGGTTATGTGAAGAGTAACCTCACTAAGCACATTAGTCTCAAGTTCTTCTATGCACATGAGCTGCAGCAGTTGAATGAGGTGAGAGTTTTGCATACTAAGTCTTGTGACAATCTTGCTGATATGTTCACTAAATCATTACCGGCATCAACCTTAGAGAGGTCTGTGCGTGGAATCGGTATGATGAGACTTAGAGAGATGCAAGGTTC